GGGGGGGGGGGGGGGGGGGGGGGGGGGGGGGGGGGGCACGTGGATAGCGTGTCGATAGTACCCACCGCATCGCCGTCCACTCCTCCATCTCGAAGAGACAGTCTAACGCGCTCGCCGGCTGAGGTGGCAGTCCCCCCGCATCCGTTCCGCTGCGGCATTCCCCAAGGACATGCAAAAAAAGTATTGAAAATCGCGCGCACGTGAATGTCGGGAAATACCACGGGCCGGCAGCATCGAGCACCACACCGAGCGACAGCAAGGCAGCCGCAGCGGGGGTGCGAGGAGGTGTGTGTGTACAACCAAAAACATGGTAAAAAACTGGGATCGAGGAGAGGACAAGAGACGGGGATCGAGAAAGCAAGGAGGAGGAGGGGGACGGAGAAGACAACAAAGGCCGGAATTATCCGCACCTGTAGGCGTTTGGCGAGCACGCTTGCGACAACATAACGGCTCAAGGTCGATCGAGGCATGCAAAAGAGTACCGACCTCGCGCACTACACGACGAGGCACGGTCGATACATGTGCAAGTGTCCCTTAATCCGGGTGTGCGAGTTTCGAAAGGGGCTACGCTGCAGACTTCCGCGGATCCTCATCGCTCACAACGAAAACACAAGGTAAGACAAAAACGTCCCGGCTTCTCTCTACCCACCTCCCGCGCCGTTGTTGGGGCGGCAGCGGCAACTGCTGCGGTGGCCATTTCTTGTGGTTGTTTTTTCTCCTCTCCTTTTCTCGGAGCGCCTCGGTTGTGCCCGGTTCCAAGCTGTCCACTCGATCCCTGTGAAAATCATGGGGCCAAAAACACCGCAAGTAGCGGGGACACTAGATACCAGCCTCTTTGAACTACAATTTTCGAATAGCGTGGCACGCAAGAGCCAAGAACGGTAGATCAGGGTCGACGCAAGCATCCACGATGAGCCGAGCGGTCGTCTTCAGCGCTGAATCATGTTCGATAAACCGGCTTTTCTGCCCTTGCTACTACGCCAGGGGGGGACTACACTTCAAGCCAATACTCCACGACAACCCCCTTCATTCCCTATCTGCGAGGCCCCTGAGGTGGAGAGGCGAGGCACGTTCGCTCCGCACCGTAACAAGAGCGCGCATATAGCATGGGCGCTTTCTCTGATTGCCACCCGAGCGCGATAACTCGAACCAACTCCGCGAGGGGCGACGTGGGGCGTGCTAGGTCAAGAAACGGGAACGAATAGTCTTCCGCAGAACACGAAGACTTGCACCTGATCGCGTAGAGGGATTTCGCGTACGCGTGCGTGGCCGAGAGCTTTTGCGTGGCGTAGCTGATGGCGCGGCGATTGTTGGCCTGGCTTCGCCGGATCAGTTCCACGAAGCACTTCCAGTACAGGCTGCGGTACGGTATCGCGGTAAAGAAGGAGTTGATGAGGACGGGGTGATGATGTAAGGTAGTGGGGGGGGCAGGTCAAGACAAGCGCGGCGTACAACCAATGCTCTGCGAGGAGCGATTTCGTTTGTGTTGCTCCTGTCTCGAAAGTCTCCCAGCAGAAACCCATCCGGGAAACGACGAAGCCGCAAGCCATACGATCGTCGTTTCAGATAACCACCACGGAACCAACCCAGCAGTCCGTTCGATGAGCTCCACGAAACGTCTCACTCGCTGCTGGGGGTTCCATCAAACCTCAAGACCCCCACGGAGTGGAAATGAGGGAGGGGGCGAAGAAACACATGGTGTGCGCCTATAGACGGCAAGAAATCCTGTGCTTCATTATATACCTCGCGCAATGATTACCGGCGATATATTTTCGAGGTCAAGAGCCTGCTCAACGAATGGCATGGTACACAGTAGCACTCGGCATCTCATGACAACACCCAAGCTTCCTCGTGACCATGTTTCTGCCCATAATTAGCGCCTAGTGTAGGCTTTGAAAATTCCCGCACTAGTACGCCTCTTCCATCGTGAAAACTTTGTTCCTTTCTCTTCGTGTTTGCCCTGTGGACTAACGCTGATTCAAAGCAGCCACTAGGGGATTTGCCCGTCTGGGGGACAGAACAGCATTCTCGTTCATTGAGCAGGGATTCCAATGCGGGGTTGAGGAGGTGCGTCACAATCACTTGATTCGGCCTCGAACGTCAAGCACAGGAACACCCAGAAAATAACCATTAGTCAGCCGCGACATCTTCCCGACACAACAGACCGCAAGCAGCCTTGATAAATAGCGACTAAATCTGGCCAACCAATGGGGCAACCTCGGGAGCCTACCCACTCAACCGAGAACATATCACAAGGCGCACGGACATGAGCGGGGGAGGGGGGACCTGTCACCACACTGACCTATCCCCGTCGTACTTCTCGCCGAAGTGGCTGTGTCTCCTCTGTTCGAAAGTTCGCGTTTCATCCAGAGCTTGTCGTCGAACAAACAAGAACGAAAACCGCATTGCCGGGGGGAGAGAGAAAGGGCAAGGGGGACGAGAAGATCGATGATCGGGACACAAGAACCGAAGGTTGGGACACACCGGGACGAGGACAGAAGTACGGTATGCATAGCAAGACTCCGCAGAAAATTAGGCACTTCCTGCGGTAACAACAACAGACGGGCAAATCCCCTAGTGGCTGCTTTGCATCAGCGTTAGGCCACAGGGCAAACACGAAGAGAAAGGAACAAAGTTTTCACGATGGAAGAGGCGTACTAGTGCGGGAATTTTCAAAGCCTACACTAGGCGCTAATTATGGGCAGAAACATGGTCACGAGGAAGCTTGGGTGTTGTCATGAGATGCCGAGTGCTACTGTGTACCATGCGATTCATTGAGCAGGCTCTTGACCTCGAAAATATATCGCCGGTGATCATTGCGCGAGGTACATATTGAAGCACAGGATTTCTCTGGATTTATTAATACGCTTCGAAGAAGGGATAGTGCGTCAAACACACGCATACCCAAAGGTGTAGACTGGCGCCCACACTTGATGGGACGACAATACGCACAACAATACATAACGCTCGCAGCATAAAATATTCAAATGAAGTTATTCGCGAACCGGTTTTGCATGTGTGCGTGTAGGTGTGCACGTGTTGCAGGAAACGAAAGCTTTCTGGTGTTTTCAACAGCGCCATTCTCTGTGCAGGCACCACAGGGACTACTGCGCGACTGCGAAAATGCCGTGCGGCTCGAGAATCACAAGTTCAGCTCGCATGGAGAGCGCGCCGCGTGCCCTACCGGCAGATGGCGCATCCTTTTCAGCGACGACCCAAAATGCATCTACGATACGCATATTCATCAACGCGTCGGATACCACCACGTGTCTCTCATCACAGCAGTACAACGCAATACTGCCCACAAGACAGATTTTGCGTCATGCTTCGCCTCATTCTACTCGCTGTGACGCTCGTTCTACAATCGCACAGACGTGCAAAAAAGGCGCTGTTGTTCTCGATCATGGCAGAGAGTCAGCTGTCTGCCTACACAGTTATGCATACAACACAACACCGGCTCCACTGCTGTGCTACTGCTGTTGTACAGAGGCGCACATCCCACCTTTTCTCTTCCGCGTGGTCCCGCTAGCGAGCACAGCTGCTGTCGCCGCTGCCACCGCCGCTGACCCGAGTGCACCAACCCCCGGTCCACCACCACCGCCAGGCAGAGGAGGGGGCGGAGAACTGGGCGGACGAGGAGAGAGAACGGGCGCGGCAGCCGATGCTTCGCTGTGCTCCGATCCCGCCGCTTCTCTCGCAGGGATCGGAGGCGGAGGAGGAGGAGTCGAAGGCCTAGGGGGTTCGAGCGAGGCGTTCAAATCAACCTCGTTGCCCTCCTTCGACTCTGGAGTTGCCGGCTGCCCGAAAGGGTTGATGTCTCGCGGTGGCGGTGGCGGCGGCGGCAGCTGCGGCTCCTGCTGTGGCGTTGACGGCGGTGACTGTTCGAAGGCATCCAAGTCGGCCATGCTCCCACCGACAAGTTACGCCGCGTTTTTCGGTCGGTTGGCAGTCTCACTTTTTCTCCTTTCCTCTCCTCCAACGCTTGCGCTTTGCGTTGAAACACGGGGGAGTGCAGCAAGGCTGTGCTGAATGCGCTGGTCGACAAAGCAGTTGCGCAACGAAGGGCGCACTCGCTTGAGAGGGCGGCGAGCACAGCGTGGCGGACAATGTTGTAAAGTTGCTCCCGGGGGGCTCACACGTGCAGTATTCCGACTTGGGGAGAGGTGCACTGTATATCTATTCCCCTGTCCGTCAAGCCCCCCCCATGGGATCTCGGGATCTCTGCGCAGCGCGCAGTCTCTCTGCAGTCTGGTCCACTTCCGCATAGCACAGCAGTGCTGAGGGAGGTGGGGGTGGTGATGGTACTGAGAAGGGCAGCCTCAAGTGCGGCTTGCCTACTCTTTCATCGGGCCAGCGCTTTTGCTCCTCCTTGCGGAAGGTTTCCGATACAGGTACATTTGGGTATACATCCTGCCGCACTGGTTTTGTTTTTTTGAAGTCGTCGCCTTCTTTCATGTTGTTGTTGTTGTTGTTGTTGTTGTTTCTCACATTAGCTCTAAAAAAGAAAGATTGGGAGCCCGTGGTCTCAAAACCCGGCATACACGACCCCACGAAGAAACAGAAAAAAATAGGGTACAAAAACCACTCGGAAGGGGACCCCGTACACTCTACAAAATAAAAAAGATCCCATCTGCGGACATAGAGAAGGGTGTACACGTCGTCATTTATGAACCACCCTAGCCATCTCCCGTGAGCTTTCGGTGTAGCCGGCATTTCGGATCCAGCCGTTGTCCAATACGTACCTGACCGATAGGACTTGAGGTGGAGGGAAAGTTGTAGAGACGTGTCACCTGTTCTCTATCACAACACATCAGCATCTGAACAAGACTGCTCCAAACCAACAGGTGTGTAAACGAGTACGCGTGCTATCTACATGTCTACATGAACTCCATGTTGAACCAGCCTACGACCCCAGCCTGCTTGGACTCAATGGAAGGAAGAAAACGAACCGTGAGCTACATCAACAACGTGGACAGGAAGTATACAACATACAGATACAGAAACATACATGAACAACAACCATATCTTATGGCAGGAATGTATCTTTGATACCCATAAGCATACCTATCACGCCGCCAAACGACGAAACTGCTGCTGTAAAACATATTACGCCGCTTGATGAGTAGCAGATATGCAGCTGTACATATGGCTGCTTCAATTCAGTAGGATGAAATGTAACTCGCCACACATATACGTAACCTTCGATTCTCCCATTAGTATGGTCCGATACACAAGATGACTACTAAACTGTCTTGTTGAGCCTGTTATCACTAGCAGGGGAGTATCACTTTACTGTGCCCAGAATCACACAGATCCATAAGTTGATAACAACACAGCATGCTTCTGCATTTACTGCCTTAGGGTAAACTTACTGGATCCTCGTCCAGTAGGGGTAAATGTGGTGGTATCCTTTCGAAAAA